TATATATATATATAATATAATATATTTAACAATTTTGAAAATTTAAATTTCTATAATTTTTATCTTCCTAGAAATAATGAATATTTATCAATAAATCGGTAAGACTTTTCTGATGGAAATTAATCCAAACATAATATGATATTGAAAATTTGATACATTCATCTAGAATATTTAAATTAATCAAGTACTGAATAAAGACATTCATTTAGATTAATTTTTTTAATTTTTAATTTTTGGATGGAAAGAATCTCAGAAATATATTGATATCATTTTTAGAAAATTATTATTATAAAAATTCAAGTTTAGGAAATTAGATATTTTACATGCCATCTTTTCGAAAATAGAGTCTCTTAACTTACTTTTTTTTTACTTTCGTTATATCATCCACATTGTTTTATTAATAATTTTAGATGGAATTCGAAATATTGAATGATGATATAATAATATCATATCACGTTTGGATTATTTTAATTTGAATGAAACATGGAATTTAAACGAATACTATTGTACTCACTAAAGTACAATAAGTTTATGTAAGTATATGCCAGTTTTATTCAAGGATGAAAAAAAGAAACTTTTCATTTTCTTCTTTTGTTGATAGATTAATTGTCATTTTTTCAAATCGATGATTATTACGAATCAAACAATTGAACAAAATTGGAAGTAGAAATTTTAATTTTTTTTTTTTCATCGTGACACAAATATCACAATTCAAGGATAAAGATGAGCGAGATGAAAAAAGAAGTCCGCGTATAACGATTCTAATTTTCCGTTGTTTGCCGATAAATATGTCAAGTATAAATATTCATGATTCTTGCCAGCATTAATACCGATAATTAGCTACATTGCGCGATTACGCGGGCTCGTTAGAAAGATACAAACTGTTTCTCATCCGCGTCAAGGGCAATTCGTACTCGATTTTCTCCATTTATAATCAACTATTCTATTTCGTTTGTTTCTCTTCTTTCTTCTTTTTTTCTTTTTATTTCTCTTTATTTGTTCTTTGTGTATTATAATAATCACGTTTAAATTAAATAATCGTGTTTGAATCTTTGCCGATATATAAGTACTTGAGCAACGACTATTAAATCGTTTCGAGCATGACAACTTATTCGTAATACAGATATGAAAAGAATAACAAAGAAATATTTAAATTCATGCTCTTAAAAAACTATAAATGTTACAATATAAGAATATAAATTTTAATTTCCGTTTTAATAATTTATTCTATTATATAATATAATTTATATATTATATTATATATTATATAATATAATTTATTTTTTTTATCAATTTTATTGAATTTTAACGAGATGAGTTTTAATATAATCTTATATTTCTGATTTTCGAAAATGCGATTAATGGTAGGAGAGATATACCATTCCATATCATTACGGAAATGTGTATATGTGTGTGTGTGTGTATTAGATAGAACATATTGAAGAAATGATTAAAATTGTATCCAAGAAGCCAAAAATATCGGAGTCTCAGGATGAGGATCGAGAAGAGAGATCGAATCGAAATTTGCTCTTATTAAAAAAAAAAGTTACTCTTTTTAGAATTATTCTCGAGAATAATTAATTACTCTTAAGAATATCCGAAAATTAAGAATATTAAGAATATTTGAAATTTGGGACATAATTGGTTCGAATCGGATCGGCTTCCAAAAATAGTTTATAGTTTTTCTAGAAAATTTCGAGATTCTCTAGAATTTTAAGAAGGCAAATATTTTGGGATCATATTCTATAACAACAAAATTAAAAGAACAATTCAACAAGTCATTATTATCATGGAAAATTCTCAGGAATCCTAATAATTTCGAAACATAATAATATTTTTGGGAATTTTAAATCCCGATCTAATATTTTTGCATATCTTTAAAAATGATACGAAATTATTAGTCAGAATTTATCGTTCCGATTTTTTTTTTCATTTTCACATATTTTTTTTTATCTCTATTTCAAAATTGATCGCCATTTTTAAGATTTCACGGTTTAATTTATCATGGTATGTGTGTAATATGTGTATATTTTGTATCTATATT